AAAAAATTAACAAAAGAAGCATAACAAATTGAAAAAATCTTCAACTTGTTCGCTGGGTTTTTCAGCAAATGTTTAAAGATCCTTACAAAGTTTGTCAATATATTTTAACTTTGGTGTGATCGGGTTAAATTATATCGATATCATCTATTCCGTTTCGCCACCACATAATTCGGTACTGCACTTCCATGCATCAAGAAATCAAGTCAATTAAATAAATTGGTATTGATATTCGAACTAAAAATTTACAAAACACTACAAATGTACATTAGAAAAAAGTAAGTCAAAATTGAAAAAAATCATGCAAAATAAAACATTACTATTGTACATTTCAAAAGTCAACATGAAAATGTTAATATATCCCATTTTTACGTGATTTTTTAGATATTATCCTTTTCGGAGAGGAGACAATTCAGAATTTGTTTGAATCGTTATAATCGTTAAAATCAGTCCAGCGGTTCTTAAGTTATAAGCGAAGTAACTAACACAACTTTATTTTATATATATAAGATATAGATTAGTTTATTATTCGTTTTGCACTTAAACAGCAACAAGACTATAGGACTTACAATCTAGTAAAACATATACAGCAAATTTACTTGTGACGGAGGCGAAGACGACGCAAGATGGAAGGTGGCAAATAGCTTTCACTTGGTGTTCCACTGGCAGTGGGAGCCAAATATTGGCTAGATGGAGCAGAACCAGCACCATAAGATCCATGAGAAGCTTGAGAGGCAAAGTTCAAGGCGGGAGCAACACCACCATTGAAGCTTTGGGAAGTACCACCCAAACTGTCGTATTGGCTTTGAATGGCTCTTTGGGCGTTGGCGGCATCTTCAGGGGTGCGGTATTTGACAAAGTGAACTTCGGGTTTGTGGTTGACATTGTTGTTAACAGCGTTCAATTTATCAGCCAAACCAGCAAGATCAGGTTGTTTGTTAAGAACATAGATGGCGGTTTTTTGTTCAGCAGCTTGTTTGGCCAAAGCCAAGGCAGCATTTTCCAAACCATTATTTTCGGGACCCTTAATGAAGATGACACGAAGACCCTGTTTGGCAGCATTGTTGAATTGGTTGGAGGCAGCGGGTTCATTGAAGTCAGCATCGTTGGCAGTGAATGTGTAGAATTCCTTTTCCAAAGCTCCACCTTGAGGAGCAAAAGAGGGAGTCACACTGCTACCAGCACCATAATTTCCAGCATCCCCGTAAGATGGTCCTGTACTGACACCAGCACCATAGTTGTATTGGGCACAAGCGGTGGCCACCAAGCACAAGATGATAAAAGCACGCATTTTCGCTGAAGTTATTGCTGAGTGTACAATTGTTCGAATTGGGAATGATTTTGAAATTCTATTAGTAAGACTTTTATACTAAAATAATTGAGGATTACTATCAGTCGGGAATAGTGTCCAACATAATCCCATTAATTGAAAATATTCATTAAGAATTAGTTTTCTGCGATGAGTTATGCTTGGATTTCAAAAGAAAAAAAAAATAGTTGCGTCAATTTTGCATAATTTTATGCTTTACTTCAAGATATACTTTTGCATAACAAAGCAAATCGTTTTTAATTAATAAACTGGTAAAGTTAATGTTTAGTTTTATGATAATTTCACTATTCTAAACTACTTGAAAATTCAGTGTGACATTCTTCGGCCATAGCGTAATAGTTAAACAGGTTTAAAGAAATTTCATGATCAAAGACCAATGCTTTTGTTTCTTGAATTTTCTGATGGGATAGGATTTTTCTTTCATAAATACCTATTAGACATATCAGCCAACTGGGATGTTATTTACTAAATCTATAACTAAAAACGGCTGAAAATTAAGCAAACGAAAAATAAAAAAATCATAAAAATATACCAATAATAATATGAATAAATAAATAAAAATATACTTCTGATATTTTTTGTAAATTTTTTATTTGCCATGAATTTTTACAATTTTAATATAATCTTCTATTTATTAAAATCAATTGTTGTTTGTTGGTAATGCAATCGGTTGAGAACGGCTGGACCGATTTGCATATTTTTTTTTTCACACGTTCGCCATACCCCGAGTTTGGGTTTTTAAGAAAATCATATTAACCACGCCTACTTTTACGCCCACTATTTTAATTTATGTAAAATCTTAAAATCTTTTTTATCTGTATATACAGGGTGAGATGAAAAAAATGCAACCAAATTCAGACTGCTGTCATTTATAAACCACTCGTCCGACAGCTGATAAAATTATTCCAGTGACAGCTCATTATATTGTTTACAAGCGTTTAATAGCATTTTGGTGAGAGTTTTCCAGAAAAAAAAGTTTTTCGTGATGGAATTCAAGCGTGATAGTGTGATATCTTTACATTTGGTTAGAGAGCCACAAGTGGCTATCGTTAGATCACTCCGGCATTTAAATGTGAATAAATCTGTTGTGTCTCGTACCACCGCTTGTTCCGTGATACTGGTAGCGTAGCCCGACGTCAAGGAAGTGGTCGAAAGAAAAGTAAAGAAGCGACTTGATCGAATCCCGCGTCGCAGTGGCCGAAAAATTACTCGTTAGCTGAACATATCGCAATATTACATTCGGCAAATATTGAAAAATGAGTACGGAGTAAACCCATTGAAATGCCAAAAAGTGCAAGAACTTACATCCCAACAAAGGAAAACAGACTCAAAAGAGCTAAAGAGTTGCTTCACTTGGCTGAAAGTGGTGAACTGGCGAATTTGGTTTTCTCCGATTAGAAAACATTCGTTATCCAGCAGTTTGTAAACAAACAAAATGATCGTGTTTACTTGCCAAAGAGGTCAGCTGAAAATGTGCACTTTCGGTTGGCCACCAGAACCCATTCGCCGGGAATGGGCCAAAGTACCACAGAGCAACATTCGGGCAGAGTGTGACGGTTTCATTGGCCGTTTGTAGGGCATAATTCGTGCCAAAGATGGCCAATTCGAACAAATCTAAACTTATTCTAAAATTTCCGACATTGTAATGTAAAAATTATGGCGTTTGACTTTGTTGCAGTTTTTTATCTCACTCTGTATATATAAACCGATTGTTGTTCGTTGGTAACTGAATCAGTTGAGTTGGAACGATTTGGATATATTTTTTTTTTTTTAATATTCGTCCTACCCCGAGGTAGGTTTTTATGCAAAAACCTGACCACGCCCAATTTTACGTCCATTTTTTGATTTAATTAAAATCCTTATATTTGCCAAATTATTGAAGATATCTGTTGCACAGTTAGTATACGACGTAATCTTGACTCTCACTCCAAGCCTGAGAGTCTTTAAATCCATGGTACAATTAAAAGGTAAGGTAGAGCTATTTTATTAGCTGATTACAATTTTTTTCTAAGTGTGTCCGACTTCTGCCAATTTTGTGTATGTATTTATTGTTTTGAAAATGAAAAAAAAATATTTTCACAGCCATTGATTGGAAGACAGATTAGATGAAAGGCTGGGCCTATTTGACTCAAAATACTTAAAAAATCGAGAAATTTTGCATATTTTCTATACATGCCATGGTTGCCATACCAAGATTTTCAATTCTGATTAAAAAAATACTTCTCAAAGAATCAAAACATCTAAAATCTCAATGTGTTTTTAAATTAAGGGGAACCAATAATAAACAGTTATTGCCGGTATTGATTTCGCAATACTGAAAACTTTAAACGTCAAATAACAGTTCATTAGGTAGAAATTGTAACAAAAACATACAAAAGAACGAATTTTTAGTGGTATTATTATACCTAAGCGATTCTACCTTTATAATAATAATTGAGGTTTGAACATTTTATTAAATACGATGATATAACGAATAGAAAAAGGTACTGGAGAAAATAAATCATAAAGTGAACTTTTGTTATAATATTTTGACAAATGGAAAGGTTTTAAGCCCTTCAAAATACCTCAAATCGGCCAAATTAGGGCACATTTGGTCGACGAATTTTTAAATGAGAACAAATATAAACCTTTTGTAACATCAATCATACTAAGAATAATATAAAAGCCTGTGCAAAGTTTCAAGGACACATATTAAATTTGGCGACCTCTATCGTAATTGCAAATGTTGAACGGAGATGCTCTAGGACATCATTTCATTAATGGGGTCCCTAACTTTTATAATTAGAAATGACTATCGATTCTGAATTCCAAAACTCCAAAAAATTGACTAGATATGGAAATAATCAATCCAACCTTAAATAACAGGTAACGTTATACGGGGACTTTGCGCTATCGTCAGCAATTACACTGCGCTGCAGACAATCATGGGGTTGGGAAATTTTACGGTTGGTAGATAAAAATCCCAATAAGGGATTCCCGGGTCAATTTTTTTAAGGTCCATTTAAAGCATTTGTTCGTTGATTGCACTATATTAGTCAGTTATATACGCAAAAATTATTCTTAAATTTATATAATGTTCAGGTAATGTTATGATGATTTTTTTTTTGTTAAAGCCTGTCATACAATCACATATTTAGATATGTCTTAGGTTTACATTTTAGTGTGATACATTTTCATAGTATCAAATAATATTTATACTTTTTATATGAAATAGAAATCAATTTCTATGAATATATTATAACCAGAACAAATCAAGTATTCTTCTTTACACCTCATCTATAAAATGATTTCTATTTGTTATATCTATCAAAATTTTAAGAATCCGATTAAAACAATCTGAAAATAGTTTTCAATTCAAGAGGAATGGTATTCGAAAAATGTAGAAACTTAAAGGAATTTTAATTCAATTATTAGAATATTTAAAACGTAAGCGGAATGGACACCGATCTATCCCGCAAGACCTGTTCTATTCGAAAGAATTCCGTCTAGCATAAAATTATGCTAAGTATATGAGGCTATTTTTATGTAAATTTGGAAAATAAATAGCAAAAGTAGTTTTGCCAAAATTTCTAATAGTTGTGCGGGATAAAACAAAAACTATTCCCATCCCATCTGAGGTTTGTGTATAAAAGGCATCTCCGAAGAGTTTTTAAATCATTCACATCTCGGTCTTTTGTACAGACAGCAATAATTCGAAAGAAAATGCGTTCTTTTATCATTTTGTGTTTGGTGGCCACCGCTTGTGCCCAATATAACTATGGTGCTGGTGTCAGTTCAGGACCATCGTATGGCGATGCTGGAAATTATGGTGCCGGTAGCAGTGTGACTCCCTCTTTTGCTCCTCAAGGTGGAGCTTTGGAAAAGGAATTCTACACATTCACTGCCAACGATGCTGACTTCAATGAACCCGCTGCCTCCAACCAATTCAACAATGCTGCCAAACAGAATCTCCGCGTTATTTTCATTAAGGGTCCCGAAAATAATGGTTTGGAAAATGCTGCCTTGGCTTTGGCCAAACAAGCTGCTGAACAAAAAACCGCCATCTATGTTCTCAACAAACAACCTGATCTTGCTGGTTTGGCTGATAAATTGAACGCTGTCAACAACAATGTGAATCACAAACCCGAAGTTCACTTTGTCAAATACCGCACCCCTGAAGATGCCGCCAACGCCCAAAGAGCCATTCAAAGCCAATACGACAGTTTGGGTGGTACTTCTCAGAGCTTCAACGGTGGTGTTGCTCCTGCCTTGAACTTTGCCTCTCAAGCTTCTCATGGTTCTTACGGTCCTGGTTCTGCTTCTCATGGATCTTATGGTGCTGGTTCTGCTCCATCTAGCCAATATTTGGCTCCCGCTGCCAGTGGAACACCAAGTGAAAGCTATTTGCCACCTTCCATCTTGCGTCGTCTTCGTCTCCGTCACAAGTAAATTTGGTATAATTATTGAGTAGTTATGTAAGTTTCGTTGGTGTTTTTTCTCCTTTTTGACAACAAATAAATAATATTTAAAATTATACGATTATTTTTTGTAATACAAAATCTGGGTTGTGGCATGATCCGACGATGCCTTATTTGGGATTTTCTTCAAAGAAATATATTGAAGAAATCTATATCTATAAAACTTATTTTTTTATAACCTACAACACTATGTGCTGGGGGTATTATAAGTTTGATTGGGCCAAACATAATATAACACCTCGAAATATTGGTCCAAGACAAATATATATGGGTTCTTCTATCTCGCCGAGCTGAGTCTAACTATCTATGTATGTCCGTCTGTCCTGTTATATTGTAACTACGCTACAGGTCGCAATTAGAACCCGATCCCCAGGACCAATATTTCGAGGTGTTACAGACTTTGTGGCCCAATCAAAGTTATAATTCCAGGGTGCTTGTATGGTATTTTCTGAGACATGTAATTATTCAACATTTTGGCCGGTTATAGGGAAGGTACTTGATGGACCACTCCACACATATATATCATCTTCACAGCAGATATTTAGGTAATAAAAATATAGAGATGTGCAAAACTTGAAGACAATTCGACTCTGATTTCACATTTTGTAAGAGGTATAATTTTTCAAAATGTTGACCATTTGTGGGGTAGGTATGAGAAGAGTTAAGAGGATGTATCCTATCTTCATACAAGATCTTTTGTTGGTGGACATAACATTGATAAAAATATTGGGATTTGGAAGTTTGCTCAAAATTGGGCAACTCTTTCTTGTTCCATACAGGGTGAGATAAAAAAACTGCCATAATTGTTTATTTATTTTTTTTTAATTTTATTGAATGGAAGCAAAAAATGTCGGAAATAACATCACATCTTAGAATAAATTTAGACTTGTTCGAATTGGTCAGCTTTGGCACGAATTATGGCCTTCAAACGGTCAATGAAACCGTCACACGCTGCCCGAATGTTGCTCTGCGGTATTTTGGTCCATTATCCGAAGATTGTGCGCTGGAAATGAAGTGGGGAACCTCATCTTGTAACCATTCTTGGGTGGCGCGTGCTGAGTGCGATACTGCTGAGTCCTGTTGGAATGTCCAAGGTCTGCAGCCAAAAAGGCTTTAATACACACTCCAAAATATTTTCGCGATAATATTCGGCATTTATTCTGATGCCACGGTCGATTAATACCAGCGGAGAGCGACCATCGGCTGTTATGGCGGCCCACGCCATCACCATGGCCGCTTGAGTTCTGGTGGCCAACCTAGGATGCACATATTTAGCTGACCTTTTTGGCAAGTAAAAACGATCATTTTGTTTGTTTACAAACTGCTGTACAATGAATGTTTATTTATCGGAGAAAACCAAATTCGGCAGTTCACCACTTTTGGCCCAGCGAAGCAAATATTTAGCTCTTTTCAGTCTATTTCCTTTCTGCTGCGGTTTAAGTTCTTACACTTTTTGGAATTTCAATGGCTTTACCCCTAACTTATTTTTCAATATTTGCCGAATGGAATATTGCGATATACTCAGTTCACGAGCCATTTTTCGGCCACTGCGACGCGGGTTTTGATTAAATCGCTTCTTTATTTTCGAACCATTTCTGCTGATGTTGCTGTTTTCTTGCGCCCACTTCCTTGACGTCGGACTACGTTACCAGCATCACGGTAACGAGCGATGGTACGAGACACAAACGATTTATTTATATTTAAATGCTGGAGTGCTTTAAAGATAGCCACTTGCGATTTTCCAGCCAAATATAAAAAAATCACACTATCATGCTTGAATTCCATCACGAATAACTTTCTAGAAAATTCTCTTTTGTAGATATAATGTGCTGTCACTGGAATAATTTTAACATCTGTCGGACGAGTGGCTTTGAAATGACAGCAGTTTGGAATTGGTTGCAGTTTTTTCATCTCACCGTGTATTTATATATTTGTTTTGGTAGCTTTATAAGGAAAACATGACTTTCCCTTCTTTGTACCTTGTTATTTTTCTCCACAAATAGATTAGCATTGAAAAAACAACAAGAAGTACCAAATTTCGCCGGACTGACGGTGTACACCAATTGGAAAATAAACTGGCCATGAACTCGACTCAGCTCGGCGAGATAGAAAGCTCCATATATAACAGTCTATAGCCATGACCAATATTTCGAAGTGTTACAAACTTTTTGGTCCATTCAACGTTAAAATTCCAGGGTGCTTGTACTGTATTTTCTGAGACATATAATTATTCAATAGTTTGACCGGTTGTAGGGAAGATACTTGATAGATCATATATATTTCATCTTCGCAATATTGTGATGGTCCAAACTTGAAGACAATCGGTCTCTTATTCCACATTTTATAAAAGGTATAATTATTAAAAATGTTGACCAATTTGGGGGGGGGGGGGGAGTATTAACGAGAAGGAGTAGGCGGATGTATTCTATCTTCATACATGATTTTGTGTTGTTGGAAATATTAGGATGTGCCATTTTCTTACCTGCCCTACCACTGACAAAAATATTAGGATCTACAAGTTTGCTCAAAATTGGTCGACCCTTTATTGATCGATTGGGTAAATTATGTTGACCTTTAGTGGGGTAGCTGCCAGGAGGAGTGGGTGGATATTGGCCAACATCGAACTCGATGTAAGTTTGATAATAATTTTACGATGTGTCAAGATAGGATAAAACCGGATACTCCTTTCGAGAGTTATCGTGTGCACCAACCAGTCAGACAGACAGATGGACGTACGCTATTTCGATGGGGCACGATTTCAGTATTATGAAATAAAATTTAAAGGGACCAGGAATAGCCAATGTGGTAGAACTCAACCTTTTTAGCAGCATAATTCAAAAGGCCAAAGACAACACCAAACATTTTAATTTTACTGCAGCTAGAAGAAAAAGTATGATATGTCTTTGAGTAAAAATATTAACTCCCATTAACTATAATACCCAACACAAAAATGGTAGATAAGACACATTTTCTGTAATTTAATTTTTGAACATTTGTGCTTTAATTTTCTCCGGAATCCCAAAGAAAACTTCAACATTCCTTGAATGGAGATTTGATATATGAGTATTTGCAGCGCTGTAACTAAAATTTGATGGTATCAGGCTTATGGCATGGCAAATATAGAAAATATATTCGGATTGTAGTCGCTGTGTATTCTGGATTAAGTTTTAGCGTTGATCTCAATTGTCAAGTCTTCGGACAACCTTTCAAGTTTCCGGTCCTTTAAATGTTTTTGTAGGCAGACTTCTTCTTTCGGAAATAAAACAACATTCTTCAAATGAGTTTACGAGAATATCAGTCAGTTTATTTACACTTATGTCTAGATATTCATCTATTGCGATTGGAGCTGCAGATTTCTTAAGCAGCATATTTTTTGCGGCCTGTAGTCTTCCAAAATTGTCCAATACAAGGTAAGTGTTACTGATACAAGTTAAGTGTTATCACACACCTTCTTTTTCCGCTGTAATTAATTTGTAGTCTCTAAGAATTGAAAAATGGCTAACAAATGACATCCGCTGATTTCCTGTTGCAATAAACAAATATGAATTTAATTATTTTAAACCAATTGTTAATTGTTCATTTTTGACAAACGTCATACGCCATAGAATTTGATATTTATGTGCTATAAATAAATATATTGTTTAAATTTGTTTTGAAAATATAAGATTGTTTTTTTTGCCGATTATCTCAAAAGCTGTTGGACTGCTTACTTAGCATAATCATATCACGACGAAAGGCGTGACATTTTAAACTAGAACCCGAAATCTATTGGAAATTCCATGTTCAGACATTTTGTATGATATTGAAAGTTGTATCGGTAGCATTTTTTAATTGATAAATAATTGATTAAGAAATTTTTTTGCAATGCTTTAATTTAGCAATGTTTCATATATGATCATACACATAAAGACATACATATACATATTTATACATAAAGGCAATCGAAGCGAATAGAATCTTAATGCACCAACGATATTAAAATGTTTAGATTATTATTAATAATAACATTCTACATCTTTAATGCCAATTTTTAATGCATAGTAAATCACACATCTGACTTATGTAAGCGGCACAATTTTTATTATAAGTAATGACTCCATAGTAATTTCAAAATAGAAATAAATATCCATGCAAAAATTATAATTAATGTTCACCTACCGTGGGTTTTAGATATTTTGAAAAGCCTGATCTTATTTTCAGCCATTGACTGAAAAATGGCCAAGACCTCGAAAATATCTTAAATCATATGATGCTGATACCAAACTATGATATTTTTTTTGCAAGGATGGTTTCTTGGCATATTATTGCCATCATTTGCGAAATTAGTATTATAAATATTGTTAGAATTTAAAATATACTTGAAATCGGGTTGTACCCATGGTACAATGATATCAAGGTAGGGCTATGATACCATATGATTTTAATTTTTTTATTTTCTTGGCTTAATATGTCATCTTTATTTGTTTATGTATGTGTTTTCTTTTCAATAACAAAAAAATTGTTCAGAAAATATTCAAATTCGGGTGTTTTCAAAATGTTTATTTCAACGTATGCATTGACCCCCTATGTAAAAAGAACCCCAAAAGTCAAAGAGAATTAACATTGACCTTGAACTTGAAAATGCAAAGTCATACAAAAGAACAATGTAATGGTAAGGAGAGAAAGATGATAAAAATGTTGTTGCTGTAATCAACCGCTATCACAAAGATCTCTCGGTACTAATCTCACTCTCTTTAGTACCACAACAATGAGTCAGTAAAGCAAATAAGATGTTTTTTTTTGGGTTGGACGAAAAATAAAGGAGAACGTAACAAGGGAGTGTTGAGTTGTGTGTTGGATGAAAAAAGAAAAAGATTGGATAGCTTGAAATGGAAAGAAGTGTGGATCGCGGAGATTACAAGGTGCTGTTTAGTGGTGTGCTTGGAAGTTTCACCATTTCGCGACCGTCTCGCTCCAACGCTAGGAAGTTCCGTCGCCCATGACTAGAAGTCCGTCCAACAAGTACTTCTGCAATCACCCGGAATTTACCA